CTGGATAGCCCAGCTCACAGGAGGTGGACCAGGATGGCCCAGCTCACGGGAGCAGCTGCTTCCGTATGGCCTGCGCTGCCGGGAGGGCTGCGGCAGAGACGGTACCAGGGTGCACACCGGCAGACGTGGCTGCACGGAGGTCATCAGGCAGCCTGCAGAGCAGCCAGGGCTCATGTCTGCTGAAAGGAGCGTGATGGAGAAGCCCAGGTCTCTGTGTCCCTGCTCAGGTCGATATTTCCCAAATTAATGTCTTCAGGATAAGGGCAAAGGTAACAATTAATTACAAAAAAAAAAAAAAAAAAATAGGACTACTCTATTATGATAACAGAATGTGCAAATGCAGTGGTTCTCAACTTTCTCCTCAAGCTCCCTTTCTGTTCTCCATCCAAGCTCATCTTCACCTGAATCCTCTTTTATTTTTTTCACGCCATGAATCCTCTTTTATTCTTAGTTTCCTCTTGCAGGAGTTAGACAAGTCATGGAGGGTGACAGTGATAGTGCTGCTCCTGAGTGCAGCGGGAACAGGGAGCTGCAAGCGGAGGGGCCGGCGATCCTGTCTTTGTGCCCGCGAGCTGGGCAGGGCTGTTTGTGACGGGTGGAGCCCTTGGTCGTTAGCTCCTGGAATCCACTCTTGGGATCCACTCCCCCCTCTAGAGAGGATCACGAGAGATGGCAGCAATGAAACGTGGCCTCCAGATGCAATGGAGAAGAGCGGTGTCTTACTGAGGGTTTACTGAGGGTTTACTGAGGGTTTATGCCAGGGTTACGCAGCACAGCGGTCACTGCCTGATTTTTGTTGTAATGACGTCTTTCAGAGGAGCCTTGCTGCCGTTATTAGTTCACTAATGGTGTTTCTTCACGTTGGAAGCTGAGTGCAACACAGTGGGTGCAAAACAAACTTCCAGCTGGTCATGCATGAAGTGTGAGCAGGCAGGCAGCCTGCGAGGTCGTGTTCTCGGAGCGAAGGCAAGGAAGAAGAACGGAATATCTTCCTGCAGACAGGTCTCTGTAATGCCCCTCTAATGCACCTGTACCTCTGCACAGGTGTGCTAAAATTAACTTTATTAAAAAGCCTTCACAGTGGGAAAAAAAAAAGAGATTTTTCCAGCTAATTTACCCAGAAGGCTTACCTAGAGAAGGGAAACAWATATTCTTCTATACAAGTCCCCGTGCAGAGGCAGCAAACTTCAGCAGTGTGGGGATAATGTACCAAGCTAAACTATTACTGTAGTTTGGGCTTTTTTTTGGAATTCATTTGGTTTCCTTTCCTAAATTTTCCAGGTCTGTACTTGTTTTGCAGGTGGTGGTAGCCCTGTAATTTTGCTTTAACTTTAATTGTAGTAGCCTGCTCAGAGCCTTAACTCCTTATTATCAATTAGCTGCACTTTTGTGCCCACCTTGTAGATGAAAATCTGAACTCAGAAGTGTGCAGCTGCCTTRTTTTATTTACAGCCACTTGAGAATCTCTTGTGCAACTTACATTTCAACCAGCAAGATTTTAAACACTGATAAATGCTGCATTCCACAAATAAAATTGTTATGGAATTAAACTGCAGCCATAGTGAATCACAGTTTTCTAACTCTTTTGGTAAAGTTCTTAAATTTTTAAAAAAATTAACGCTTTCAAACTAGATTTCTTTTTTGTTTGGTTGGGCTTTTTCCCCAGCACTCAGCCATATTCTTCATGTTAATATTCACTCTATAGCAAAAGGAGTTTTATAGACTTGTGTGCAGGATGTTCTATGCATACAAATAAGCTGCTTTTCAGAGCTACTTAGATGGTGCAGTATCCATTACATTTAGTGGGTAGAAGGAGGCCCAACAGTGGGTTACTCTGCTTAATTACAATTTGTTRTTTTCAGGCATAACTGGAGCATGAACTGAGCTAGAATATCAAAGCATCGAAACTCTGTTCATAAGTATTGTCTTGAGGTGACAGGAAATAAATATTGTGGAAATTCTCCTATTAAATCTTTTGTTTTAATGAGTTATAAAACTGTATCAATTTTAATTTTCGTGAGGCTTTGAGGACAAGCACGGTGGCTATAGAGTGATTCTCCAAGTCTGGCCAAATGCAGTTGTGCCAGCAGGTGCCTTTCTCATTTTGCTTCAAAGCAGTTAGCGTGCGGCATGTAGGCTCAAAAATCTCTTCTTCCTTTGGGTTTATTGAGAATTGAATGCACAATAAACTCTATTTCAGGCTTTCCTCCATGTTTAGCTCTTTCCAGATTTCTTCAATAGACTTTYAATTTCTTTCACTCTAGGAGGAAATTTCTGTCTCCTTCTTATCCAAGGTGGGTTAATGCCCTTGGCTGTCACTGCAAGGCCAATGCGGTCAGTTCTCATCTCTGTGGAGGTTTCCAACACCTCCTAGCAGGGAGGATCATTTGAACATTTGTCTTATCTCTAAAATGAAGATGTTCAGGTACGGGGTTTTTGGAAAGTGCAGYTGGAATTCTGGAGGCACCTGTTTCTTCCCGTTCATCTTAAATGTGTTCTGCGTTGGCAGGGGGAGATGCCCTACGACTCGACACTCTCCTGGAGTGGTGGCGAGAAAAGAACGGCACTTTCTGCTCCCGTCTCATCATCGTTTTAGACTGTGAGAACTCTCAGCCGTGGGTGAAGGAAGTCAGGAAAGTGAATGACCAGTACGTCGCTGTGCAGGGCGCCGAGATGGCCAAGGTCGTGGACCTCGAGGAGGCCGATCCGCCGCAGCTCGGCGACTTCACCAGGCAGTGGGTCGAGTACAACTGCAACCCCGGCAGCAGCATCAGCTGGTCGGAGAAGGGGCGCACGGTGAGAGCCGTGTACGGGGTGTCCAAGCACTGGAGTGACTACACGTTGCACTTGCCAACAGGCAGCGACGTGGCCAAGCACTGGATGATTTACTTCCCCCGCGTCACCTACCCCTTAGTGCATTTGGCAAACTGGTTTTGTGGCCTCAATCTGTTCTGGCTCTGCAAAGCGTGCTTTAGGTGCCTGAAAAGGTTAAAAATGAGCTGGTTTCTTCCCACGGTGCTGGACACAGGACAAGGTTTCAAACTTGTCAAATCCTAATTAGGAACCAAAGAGGAACATCAGTGGGAGTTCTGGGAACTTACTCATTTACAGTACAACGTACAACTTTTTATATGACTGTTTTCTTTGAATGAATGTGCTACATCAGGAGCTGCGCTCACCTTGTTCAGCTTTTTGAGCAGCTACAGAATATGCAACAGTTAGAAACTGCGTCTTAAACGGAAGAGGCTACGACTGTAATATTCAGGTTTTGTTACTGAACTGTATCTAAATATGTAAAAGACCTACTTGAAATGASCCTGCATTTGGAGACAGCTTTCGTGTTCGTCCGTGTTCCCTTTCCCGAGTGCTGAGCTGGGGCGGCCGCGGCTCCCGCGGATGTTCTGGCCAGTGTGTGTGTCCCCTGCACCAGGCTCAGGGACGGGACGGGAACGGAACGAATCTTCCATTCACTTTGTATGCCCTTGGAATTATAGGGAGGGGTCAGGGGTGCTGTAAAAAGCACTGAGCCAAAAATGAGAGTAGAAGAATGAAGAGCCATCGTAGGTAGGTAGCCACCAAAGATACCTGGGTTTATTTGCCTTTACATCTTCAGTCCCTGCCTGAATTTTCTACTGCCATCGATGGGAACTGGCTGGTAAAGGGAATTTTTCTGACAACAGTCTGACAATGTTTTGTTGCTGCCCACCAGATAAGGTTTTATTCAAGTGCTTTTTTTTTTAAAGCCTTATGTTACTTTCAAAATTCAGTATCTTGCAGTGATTTTTTCTTTTTAAATATACCYGAGAGTTAATTCACATATGGAATAACAAATGTACTGAGAAGGGTTTTTTTCCTCACCTGCCAGGGTGGTTCTGACTTTTTCAGACTTTTGCTAGTTTGTATTTTGAAAAGATACCCTGAAGAAGTAACATAGCAAAGAAAATGGTCCATAAATAARCAAATAAATAAATAAGAGGAACAAAAGCAAACGTTGCCTTGTTCCGCATTAACCTGAAGTCTTTGCCTAAGAGCTCAGTCCTGTTCCACGCCGAGCATGGGGCTGACCCAATGAGTTCATTATCTATTTAAACTAAGGACAAACAACTGGAGTGAAAGAACGTGTTATTCCTTAGGAAGGAATTGAATCTTGAGCTTTCCTCAGCTTTGCTGTCCAGGTTGTTATTTCTTCCAGTTACAGAAGATTGGGAGGACTCCACAAGTCCCATGTTCCTTTCTGTGGGAGAAGCTGCATAGCTCTCTAGCCTGCTTGCTGAAATACCAAAAATCAGGAATCAAACAGCGAGCTGCTAAGTCRGGACACTTTGTGGCAACTTTTTTTSTGTACGTGTGTGCAATCTAAAASAGATACAGAGTTTACTTTTTTCCTGTTTTCATCAGTATTTTAATTAAAATATTAGGCAGTAGTGATATTGGTCTAAAGTATAATTTATTTTATTTTTTAATACCTGGAAAGATGTTAGGAGTCCTTCAGTTCTTTGCCTTCAGGAACTTTTCTATTTCATTTGAACTTTTGATGCACGTAGCTGAGAGAATCTGCTGTTACAGCCACTGCTCAGCGCCCGACAGCGAGGGTGCAGCCCTGCCCGTCCTTCCCGCCGCTTCCAAGGGGCTGCTCCAGGGGATTTGCAGGGAACAGCCCCAAGGCTCCGTAAGGAGGCAGCCCCTTCCCGGCAGTTTGAGCCGTCTCCGAGCCGCAAACCCCAACTGGAGCAGGGTGCGCAGCCACTCGTGCCCTTGTGAAGTGGCTTTGCTTGCCCTTGTACCCAGACTGCTCAGACAGCAACACAGACGGTTCCAGTTGGAGCCCGGGGACAAACTTTACAGCCCAAAGATCCTTTAAATGTGGAACGGTTGTGGCATTTGGCAGGAAGTTCTTTCTCATTTTGAGAAGCTGTGAACATCAACTCTAACACTTCCCACTAATTATGAGGGGCAAACCCTGTTCTCCACCTGCTCCTGCCGTGTTTTTGTGAATGTCATCCGTGTTTTTGTCCAACGAGAGGAGCGGGAAGCGCGGGGCTGGCTGAGCCGGCCCGGGCAGGGCGGCATCTCCGCGCTGCCCCTTAGGGCCCTGCTCCTTAAAGGGTCTCCAGGTTACTTACCAAGGCATGGGATCTTCCCTGGGATAGGCTGGGTCATCCTTATTTAGCAGTTTGTTGAATGAGAGCTAAACCTGGCCAAGAAAASGTTATTGGCAAAACTAATCATGTGCTTGAAGGTTTTTTCCCCGTTTTCTCAATGACAGAATTCAATTTCTCCGAATTTCAAACAGCTTAAACATTTAGTGTTCCTGCTGTGGTGTTGGTTGGGTTTTCCTGTAACAGGAAAGGCGAAGTGAAAGCAGGGCTTTAACCTGGGAGACGCGTTTGGGAGCGCACAGCCTGCGGCCTTTCCTGTGGGCAGAGCCGGCCTTCGCGTCCCAGGTGAAGGAGACCCAAATGTGGGGTGCAAGGGGAGTCCCGGGGGGCGGCACGAATCCCCCCCTGCCACTGCAGGGCCAAGTGCTCGAGCGGCGCCGCCGCATCCCGGGAGAGGAGGATGGATTCAGGAAGAGCGATGGGAGCCGCATTCCAGGAGCGCTGCTGCACGCGCGGCCGCCCACACACAGGTTGTTCCGCTGAGCTGGGAATGCTGCCTGGCGTGGAGCGAGCGACAGCGCGTGGTCTGAATCTGGGCGTTTTTGAGGTTCTCTCCACTGCCGATTCTGAGTGTTGTTACAAAGTTTGTTACCATTTACACCGCAGCAGTAGTTTTGTTTTCACTCGGTTTCGCTTGCACTTAGAGGATCAWTCTTGCTGAAACATCCAGATGCACCAAGTGCTACAGACCTAAGTCCTCGCGAGGGATTCAGCTTGCAAAGTCGCAGCAGTGTTTGTCTCTGAATAAGTACGGGGGGAAAAGCCATTCAGCTGGTGTTTTGCACTACCAGAGTTTCATACTTGCAATTCATTATTTTTTGTATGTCTTGTGATTCTTGTCTGACATCAGCTAAATYTTTTCTCAGATATGATTTCTCCAGCTTTATTAGTTTTCACTTTATTTTGCAAAGCATAATTAACGTGTTACCAGACAATGTAACTGGGTTAAGGTTCTGCTTCCTGAGTACCTTGCTGTGGGAGGATTTTTACAGGGCATACCGACTTCAGATTTGTAAATAAACTTTTGTGTATTTGTGATATTGCTTAAATATATTTTGCTGTTTGGGATGTTCATTTCCATTTCATGTTTTTCTTTATGCCTCAAATCACTTGCAAATTTTCTGTATTTTCTCTTGAATTACATGTTGTTTTTTTCACTATAGCTTGTTTCAGAGTATTTTTTTAGACAAAAATTGCCGCAGAGTTTGCTGAAAAACATGAAGGCTGATGTGTGGTTAACACTAGGAGAAAGGAGAAGTAATCGCTGGAATGATGAACACGAGAGGCCTTTCACCTTGTCACAGGATGGYTGAGGTTGGAAGGGACCTCTAGAGMTCATCCAGTCCAACCCCCTGCTCCAGCAGGGACACCCAGAGCACGGGGCACAGGGCGGCATCCAGGCGGGTTTGGAAGATCTCCAGRGAAGGAGACTCCACAGCCTCCCTGGGYAGAATTCAGCCAAATTTGTTGTCTTCTCCAGTAAGATCCAAGTCTAAAGTTAATGAAGGATTTCTGCATGAATTGGATCAAGCCTCGGCGAATGAATTGGAAAAACACCTTTGGCAGCGTAGAAGGCTGACRAAGCCAACTCTGCAGGTTCGTTGTTCCCCTCGGGAGGCGGCGGGAGCTCCCTGCGGAGGCTGCGTGAGGAGCGAGCGCGCAGCAGAGCCCCGGGCGAGCGCGGCCCCCGGGGACAGGCGAGGGGCGGCCACGGTGCCCCCCACGGTGCCCCCCACAGCACCCCCCACAGCACCCCCTGCACCACCCTCTCAGCAAAGCACACCCGCGTGCCGTGGTGGCTCTGCTCTTCTATTAAACAGGAGGAACAGTTCAGACCCTTGTACTTCATGATGGAATCTATTACTTTTGCATCTTTTTAATATCTTTTTTTTTTTTTTTTTGCAAGTCAGATTTCTGTGGATCGCTGCATTGCCCGCCCCGTGCTGCCCAAGTTCTCTGCAGTGCGATAGCTTCTGACCTCTTCCCATCTGCTGCAGCTGGGAACTGGCTCGTAGAGGACAGAACCACCTTTCTGTTGCACGAGGTRGTAGCGAGCTGGAATTTCACAAGAACGTGTGACATTGTAGAAAACACAGGCACTGCCGAATGCCTGGCAGTGGCACCGCAGAGCGTCTTTGGCCCGTGCTGGTGCTGCTGGGCCCAGGATCTCTCAGCTTTGCCACGAGCCCTCGCGAGCAGCACGGCTGCGGCCGCGCGCCGCCCTCTGCTTCCTGTCCCGGGAAGCCACAAGCCACCTCTGTCCCCATGTCCCATCCACGCACAGGGCTTCCCTCGCTTCTTTTTCCTCCCTCCGTTTAATGGTTTTGGTGGTGGAGGAAGTGAAACCTGACAAAATGGACCATAAACAAAGAATAAAAGCTATATGGATGTGCAATTAATGTTTCTCCTTGGGTGCTGTTACACACTGCAGTTGTAAACCAAATGTAATCTAAGCACCCCAACTATAGAGTATTTATTTATGCCCTTATGTGGTATAAGCGTAAGTTATTTTAAGCAGCTTTTTAAATTCAAGTCTCTCTGAAATGATCTCTGTTTCATTTCACAAAAAAAAAAGCTTCTGTTAGTTGGAGTAATGACACTGTTGGTTAGRAAAGACAACAAGACGTAACATTGCGTGTTTCAATGCACTTGAACTCAGTCTGAAAAATGTTTGGAAGGAAACGGAAAGATGTCAGTTTTGTTGTTGTTTTTGTTTGTTTTTAACCATTAAACCTGCCCCACGCACCACTCGGTGCCAGAGCAGGTTGAGCGGGCGGCCTTGGACAGGGAGCATCTCCTGGCGCTGCCCTTCCCGCTGCTGCGTTTCCATCGCGTCTTCACCGTGTCGCCCGCCACCATGGTCAGCTAAAACACGCTCTTACACCCCCATGTTAGCCTGGACGCGTAAAAAGCTGGAGCAGATAAACGACTTTCACGTGTCAGAGCTCGCCTCAGGCCTCTGGATGAGGCACTGCCTTATTTTCCCAACGAGATGCCTACCTTGCGCCGCTGTGAAGGACTCAGCACCCTCGGGGGTGTCAGGCTGTTGAGGGCGCTGAGGAGGGAGCCGTACCCAGTATCCACAGGCAGCTGCCTGCAACTAATGCCACGGAAATTCAAAACTGAGTTGTTGCCCTGCCACAATTACAGCCCCAAGGTGCTTTAGGACACTGGGGTTCATACCCGGTGCCACTCTGGGCTGCGCTGGGGAGTGGCCGGGGCCAACTCAAACCGCGCTGAAGGCGACGGAGACGCGGATCGGGATCCCCCGATCGCAGAGAGCTCTGTGCTTAATGGCTGTGAAATCCATGCGGACCCAGCGCCTGCCACCCCACACACGCAGAGCCRGGACACGGCGGCACCGCTTGTGCCAGCCCAGCTGCCTCTGGAAATCAGAACAGCACCAGTCAGAGATTGGCAATAGCCAGAGGAGACGGAGAAA